AACTTGCTGAGGGTGCACTGGATCCCACTGTAGGGACACCACTTGTCACTGACCTCCATTCGAACATTGAGCTGTTGACCACTACCCTCTGGATGTGACCATCCAACCACTTCCCTATCCACCCAATAGTCCATGAGACCGTGTCAAAGGCCTTACACAAGTCCAGACAGACGACATCCGCAGCTCTTCCCTTGTCCACTGATGTGGTCACTCTACTGTAGAAGGCCCCTAGGTTGCTCAGGCAGGACTTGCCCTTGGTGAAGCCATGCTGGCTGTCTCGAATCACCTCCCTGTCCTCTATGTGCCTTAAGCATAGCTTCTAGGAGGATCTGTTCCAGGATCTTCCCAGGCACAGAGGTGAGGCTGACAGGTTGGTAGCTCCCAGGGTTCTCCTTGGTACCCTTTTTTTAAAAACGGGTGCAGCGTTTCCCTTTTTCCAGGCTCCAGGGACTTCACCTGACTGCCAGGACTTTTCAAATATCATGGAGAGTGGCTTGGCAACTACACCAGCCAATTCCCTCAGGACTCTGGGATGCGTCTTGTCAGGTCCCATAGACTTACGTATGTTCAGGTTCAGCTGGTCATAAACCTGATCTTCTCTTATAGTGAGAGGGACTTTGCTCCCCCAGTCCCTGTCTTCCGGTCCGTCCACTTGAGAGGTGTGGGAAGAGAGGTTGCCAGTGAAGACTGAGGCAAAAAAGTTGAGTACCTCAGTCGTCTCCTTGTCCATTGTTACCAGTCTGCTAGTCTTGCTCATCATGGAGGGGTACACTTTCTTTGACCTTCCTTTTCTGGCTTGTAGAAGACATACTTGTAGAAGCCCTTCTTATTATTCTTTGTGTCCCTTGCCAAATTCAGCTCCATCCAGACCTTGGTCTTCCTTCCCCATCCCTACACAACTGGGCAACATCCCTGTACTCTTCCCAGGATACCTGTCCCTGCTTCCACTGCCTGTGCATTTCCTTCTTGCCCTTTAGTTTGACTAGCAGGTCCAGACCCATCCATGCTGGTCTCTTGCCCTCCTTTCCTGATTTCTTACACCAGGGGATTGAGAGCTCTTGCACTCTATGGAAAGTGTCCTTAACGATCTACCAGCTCTGTTCTGCTCCCTTGTCCTTGGGCAGTTTTCCCAGGGGGTCCTATTGACTAACTCCTTGAATAGCTGGAATTTTGCTTTCCTAAAATTCAGGGTCCTGACATTACTCTTTGCCTGCCCTGTATCCCTGCGAACTCCACCAGTGCATGATCACCGCGGCCCAGGCCACCTCCAGTCTTGATATCACTGATTAGCCCACTTGCGTTGGTGACCATCAAGTCCAGTATCGTATCCTCTCTGGTAGGGTTGTCTATTACTTCTTAAGAAGTTATCCTCAATGCACTCCAGGAGTCTCCTGGATTGCCTACAGCTTGCCGTGCTACTTTTCCAGCAGATATCAGGATGGTTGAAGTCCCCCAACAAGACGAGAGCCTGCGAGCGCAAAGCCTCCTGTAGCTGGAGTAAGAAGGCTTTGTCAATAGGCTCCCCTTGATCGGGCGGCCTGTAGTAGACACCAACCACAAGGTTCCCTTTGTTGCCACGGTCTCCGATTCTTACACATAAGCTTTCAACCTGCTCGTGGCTATTCTTCAGAGACAGCTCTTCACAGTCTATCCATTTCTTGATGTAGAGGGCAAGTGGGTAGGAGATGATAAGGCATCTCATTTGACTTGAATGGGGCTTGGAACTGTTTTTGCAGCAGCAGTACTGCTCACAGACCTGTTTCCAGAGGTGAAGTATCAGGAGCCAACAAAGGATCAGCTGCAAGAGTTGGTGTCATGATCTCACCCACTGCTTTTTAGGATGTGAAGAAGCAGGAACTCCACCTGTTCCTCCTTCTCTAGCATTCATCTAAATCCAGCTGCCACACTTTCCTGGGGTCACCCCAACGGCTCTGGGTGGGAGCATGGCAAGAGATTTTCATGTTTTCCTGCTGTTTTTGCATTAGCAGATGTCATGTGACTTCCCATATATTTGAAATGCCAATGGAAGTGGTCTAGTTTACATCTCCCTAATGTAGGCTGACATTGAAATGTACTGGGGATCATTTGCATTAGGTACAACAGGGGCTGTGGAGAGAATGCATTACTCTTAATGTGCTGAGGTGCCCTCCCACAGAGAGGGAGCCCCTCTTGGGGAAACTTGCCTTTGTTTTTTTGAGACAGTCACCATAGTGGTGTCAGCTGTGCAGAGCGTTTTGCCTCTTGCTCTTCATTCCTTTCCCATCCACGGACTGTGATGTGCCCTCACCTCCATTGGAAATGTCACTCCACTCCTCCTCCTGCTCTCTCCATTGGCACCAAAGAAATTGATTTTGATAGGGAGGTGGGGAAAGATGGTTGGAATGGATGGGCTCTGAATAGTCCTGCCTGATGCTGATGGCCCCTTGCCTCTCCTCTCCCTCCCTGCAGAGGCCTGTGGGTAGGGCTGCGAACACTACCTTCAATTAAAGGGAAAGTCAGTAGGGCTGATGGGAAGGACAGCGCTGGGAAGCAGAACTTGCTGCAAAATGCTCATACAGCCAAAGTGCTTTAAAGATTTGTAAAGATCTCTCTCGCGCCTATCAATGAACATAAGCTTTTTCCTGCCTCAAAGAAGTTGCTGAGAAAATCTAAATAGGCAGAGCCGTTGCCATGTCCTGAACTTCCACTGTGGTGTAACTGACAGAGAAAGGCTGTACCTACAGGGCTTCCCCATCCTGCCAGAGCTTGGGACTCTATGGACACAGCTGAGCAACTTTGCTTATTACCCTACAACCTTTGTGTCACTGGTCCTACACTGAGCCCTTGAAAAGTCATGAGGGAATGCAGAATACATGCATGTGACAGGAGCCCTTTGGCCAGCATTGCAATGCCACAGCTCAGCCCTTCCCTCTGTCTTTCAGCACATGACAACAACACATTGTCAACTTGGAAAAGACTTGGAAAAGACTCAGGATTCAGATCAAGATACGAGAGCGTTGTGCTATCTTGAAATAATCCAGTAGTTGAAGCCAGCACAGCTGGAGATTCGGCTGAGCTTGAGCATAGTGTTACAAACAGAAAGATGGAGAGTGGACTATCCTTCAGTAAGCCGAGTAATGCCAGAAAATGGCAAAGTGCTTTAGGAGATTTGTACTCCAACACCGCCAGTCTGCTAGCCTTGTAGAGTTTGACAAGCATCAGACGTACAACTACTTGTCTCTTACCCAGAGATGTCCTGGCTGGCGTAGAGTCTCTCTTGATCCAGAAGGAAACCCAGGAAAGAACAACAGTCAGGATGCAGGGAATGTAGGTCTGAATGGCAAAGTAACCCATACGTCTACTTAGGTCAAAAGAAACTGTCATCACCATGTACTCCCCTAGGAAAAAGCAGCAGAGACATGGGAATCATAACGTGGCTTCCTGAAACACAAAAATCAGCAAAGTTTCAGAATTTGGAGTGTTTCTGATGAGGTTTTCTTGTTGTTTTAAGTATCTGGCCAGCTGGCTTTGTGGCTGCACAGATTTTTAGCTTCATGGGCAGCTGTGTAGCTGGCTGAGTAGGTTTGGTGACTCACTGGCATTGGGGCTGGATTGCTGGTTTTGTGGCTAGTGGACTCTGTGGCTACCTGGTTGGCTTTCTAGCTGTCTGATTTAGTGTCTTTTTGACTAATTTAAGAGCTGAATTTGTGGTTGCCCAACTGGCTATCTATCTGCCTGGCTGGCTATGTGGCCACTAGGCTGCATTTGTACTGGCCTGGCTGTGTGTCCAAGCACACTGAAAAGCACACTGTCTGGAAAAGTTTCAGGGAAGGAACTATAGAGAGTATTCATCTTCAGCTGATTGCTGCAAGGGATTCTTTTCTGCAGAAGCTATTTAGCTGTAACAGGCTAAGTGGCGGGGCTTGCCAACTAACTACCTAAGCTGTGACAAAGGAGGTGTCCTTCAATCACTTTCATTGAGACTCTGGTTCTGCCTCTGGAAAAGGCATGTGGTGCTGTACCTCCTAATTGCTCATTTGGCAACTTACAGCTGAGGTTATTCTTCGTTTTCAGAGGCTCCTAGTGAGTATTGGAAGAAAGACACCTAATAGCTCTAGGGTTAAGATGGAGCTTGCAAGTAATTACCAGAAAAGGGAATTACAAATGTTGGACAGCCGCTGGTGCATTCAAGACACTTTTACTGCACCACTTCTTGCCCCTGTTTGTGCTGCCTTACTACACCAGTTAGAGGCTGGCTGCTGGTGTCGGCAACAGCAGCTTTCTGCAGAGTGGGAGAAGCAATACCTGAACTTGCTGCTTCAGAGGACTTAAAAATATCAGCTCACCCCACCTGCAGGATCCCAAAGAGGCTTTCCTCAGTTGTCTGCAGGAAGGAAAGGGGATGCAAGCTATTATGAGGAGGAGGAGGAGCTGAAGGGCCTCCATTCCCTGGTTTCTTCACACATGCAGCCTTGTTCCTGTCTCTTAAAGCATAATTCAGGTATTCATCAGCCCACACAACTTTAGAGAAGGAAAGATTGAGACCTGCAAGTTCTGCTTTCCTCACCCCTGTTCCAATTATAAGCATCACCCAGGGATCACATAGTATGCACGTACTACAGCAAGAGGGGATCTGAGCTCCATCTCCACTCCCTCCTGGCCCATCAGTTAGGGATAGCTTCATTTCAGTCAGAGATAGCTTCATTCACATCATCATTGTCTCCACACAGTTCACAGATTTCAGTAGTTCTGGCCTACCCCTGCTTCGTCTTCCCCTCACCCTTCATCTCCATCATTTCTGCTCTCTCTAGCAAAGGTCCATCCCTTCATTCTTACATTTCTCTAAGTGTGCTGTTGTGACCTTCCTTCCCCACTATTGTGGAGCTGTCTGATGACTCCTTTGCCTCCCACAAGGTCTCCAACACACTGGTGTTTCTGTGGTCTGTCTCCCTTTGCCTCACCTGCCCCGGTCCTGAGAACTTCCGAGGTGTTCCTCAGCCCTGTGAAGTCAAACTGGTAGAGCCTCCAGGTGCGCTGGTCAGAGACCTCAATGGAGTAGCGCCTCCAGCGATAGACAATCTCCTCACGTGGGTAGCCATCTGGGAAAAGGGGCAAGCACATCAATGAAAGAGTATGTCATGGCCTCCACCTCATTCACATCCCTGACTGCAAAAGCACTGGCATCTCACTCTAGCTGTTTTGTAAACATGAAGCTTTCAGGCAGGTATTTCTGATGCCTTTTGTTTAGATACCCTCAGGCATCCCCACATGCAATGGGAGTAGGGACAGCATCTCCCTTGTGGTCTGCTTCAAATCCTAGGGATGGGAAAAGCAGTGCTAGAAATGTAGCCTTCACTGGTGGCAATGAGACTTGGGTTAGTGTAACAGGACTCCCCCAGCCTGAAATCTTTAAGGATTTTAGCTCCCTGAGGCAGCATGGGGCCTTCACTACTCCTCATGACTACCTTCTCTTCCCAGGCATAAGTACACCAGGAATACAAAGCTGCCAACATGGGAGGTGGTGTGGCTGTGGCTGCTCTGACTATCTCTGTACCTCTCACCCTGGGAGCTGATCTATGCATGGAAAAGAAAGGGTGAATTCTCCACGGAGAATGAGACTTGGCTCCTGCAGGCTGGTGCACGGCTTCTCCTGGCTCTGTCTTTCTTGACAAAAAAACAAGCCTACTGTGAAGCAGGGACCTCTACACCTACGAGAGAGTTTGTCAGAGGAGGGAAGGAGCAAGAGCTTGGCAGCTAACTAAAAGTGTGTTTCTAATTATCAAGCATGTATGGCATGTACTGTTAATTAGCAAAGATTGAGGGGTGGTGGGAGATAAGGGGACGATATCTCCTCAGCATGCTGCCTCCCTGTGAAGCACCTCCGAGCCATGGGAAGCAGGCGAGGCGAAGCCAAGCTAAGATGACTAAATCAAATTTCCAACCAACGCATGAGGACAGGAATCTCTTGGTGCAGAAAGGCTCCCTGCAGAATTACCAGTGGAGATGTGCCAACATCAGCGTCCCTCTCTGCTGATGAGAATGGACAAGTGCGGCATGAAAAGGGAGGTCTGAGTGCCCCTCCTTTGCGATGGCCTTGGGTGCACGAAGTTGGCCTGTCTCTGGGCTGAGGTCTGGAAAGCCAAGCTGTCCCCTTAGAGAGTGGGGGAAGAGGGAAGATGCAAGGCAGAATGGGTACCATTTGTCTGCCAGCTGAAGGGACATATTCTGTCTAGTAGGTCAGAGTGACCAGAAGGTCAGTGAAATAATCATCTCCAACCATCCACCCAAATTAAGGAGAAACTCAAGAGGTGCTGTGAATCTGTGCCTGAAGACCTCTGCTAGCCCAGGAGTGGGAGGATGCTTCAGGGCATTACGAGTAATGGCTCAGGAAAAGAGTCATAGAGATTGGGTAAAAAATGTAGCTAAAGGGTAAGATTCTTCCCCAGAAGAGTTTTATTCTACTGAGGTTTCTCTACTTGCCTTCTAAAACTATTTTTTAAATATGTATACTCACAACTGGAAAAAACCAATGGGCAGGAGTGAGTGTCCATTGGGAAATTCTGCAGCTGGAGCAGACATTCAGCTTCGATCGTCAGCCTGAGAGAGGAAGGGAGAGAGACTGAGATTTTGTGTTGGTGAAGGTAACTTGATTCCAACACCACAATATGACAGAGTGATTCCCGCTTCCTTGAGAGAGAATCACTAATTTGTTGGAGAACAATCTGTTTGCAGGAACATTTCAAAACAGCAGCAAAACAAAACATATGTTTGGATGTTTTCAAAGTGCGAAAACACATCTAATTTTCGCATTCAAAAAGCCTTTTTGTTTAAGTGATCTTTTCAGATTCATTTATGGGAGTGAGAATTTATGGCAACAAAAGACAAATGTTTATTATCAGAATGAAATAACTGGACTGACAAACATAAACTTTTAAAGGATTTTGGTTTAGGAAACCATTTGTAGTTTTGACTTTTTTTCTAGGTATGATATGGAAAACCAGTTTGATTTTTGTGAAGCCTTCATCCTGGGAAGAGAAAGCCCATTCTGCAACCAGTACTACATGTGTACTCCCATCAGCACTGGGAGACATCTCCACTACTCCATCCCAGGGCATCTGGAAACCTCCTCTACTTTGACCAGCTCCTTGTTCCCTCACCTCAGCAGCCAGCTACAGTGCCTGCTGGATGTACCTGAGCGTGTAGAGCACTTTTCCGTCATTCCAGATGCGGAGGAGCTGATTAGGAGTGGTTATCCAGTGGGAATCAGCCCGCTTGGAGTTCCTAAAAAAGGTATCTGGGATCCAGATGCGGCTCACCATGTTGGTGTTCAGCGTAAGGGCCTTCAAAGTGCTGTTGAAACGAAGACGCCGGTCATACCACGTCTGAGCAAAGAAGATATCAATGGTGTATTCCTGTGAAAAAGAAGGAAGAACGTGTCTTTCTGAGAGGGATTCAGGCAAAGCAGAACCCTGTCCTCTGGTCTGCAGGCCACCATTTTAGAGTCACGGCCAGAACATTTGCTTTTTAAGTCTGGGAGCAGGTGCTGGTGACCACTGACACCTTTCCAGGCTCATCTTTAGCTCAGGGTCAGGACATCCGTGGCACACTTAGGAAGAGCCAAAGACTGTGTGTTAACTGGTGGGCTGAGCCGTAGCATGTTTGGCCTGGCCCATGCCTGGAAAGCCAAGACCATATGGACAAGGGCTTTGGCCTCCTCTTGACGGACAACTCAAGCCAAACACTCCTTTTAAGCATAGGCATGAAGGGGCAGTGTGGACATTGGCTGAATCCAACCCTAAGTTCAGCTACACCTTTCACACACAGGCAAGGAAAGCTGCTCACCATCTTACCAAAAGTGGCAAGCAGACAGCTCTTTCTGTTATTTATTAAAATACAGCCCAGCAGTGCTCCATGTACCTCATTTGTGCATGTAGCAATAGTAGTGTTGTGCATAAACCTAGTGAGAATCCACCCCTTGCTACTGGACCTATACTGTAAATGGTTTATATGAAAAACTAGGGCATTATGCGTTCCTGGGCAGATACCCCTTGCTGAAGATAAAAGGAACCTGGGGCAGGGGCTGCTCGGGACCCAGCTCTTGGTGCAGCCCGTTCAAAGTCTTGACTTTTTGCAGACAGAAAACAGAGTTTCCACCATAATGAGGACCTTTGGTTTTGGTGAGAGACAGGGTGTCCTAGCTCACCCATAACTAGCATTTCTGGGAGGCAGGTCCTGTCCAGGTTGGACTGGCATCCACATCATTAGCCCACTATTCTGCTGCTTGCTGCTGCAAGCCAATTTGCTCCTTCTTACCCTCTTTTTTCAGCCTGCCTGAGAAGGTGGTAATTAGGGCTGTGCAGGAGCATGTCTGGCACTCAGTGGCTCTCTGAACCAGACCCCCAAATCCAGTTCTACCAGCCCATACGAAAGGCTGTCACCTGTTCCTGACTGCTCCTCTCTGACTTGGATTTTACTCCCTTTCACTCCTGTTAAACCTCAATGACCATGGAGGCATTGTCTCCCTGTCTCCTGTGGGCAGAGGTGAAGTGTCTGACTTTGCCATCTCTCCCTCTCATTCTCCTCCTGCCTCTATTGATTTATCTCAGTGGAATTTTTATGACTGCAGCATATCCTCCCTCCGCTGCCCTCGCTGCTGGTTCAGAGATGACTTCCTCAAACCGTGCTGTTAAAATAGATGCAGCACTCTTAGTGTGCTCCCTTGGTCAGCATGTCCTGCTTGGGGGAGCCAGAGCAGGGCAGCGCACAACTCCGCACTTCATTTTCCTCGCCCTCTCTCCACTGTCAGCCAACTGGTGATGAGTGATTGATTGGTACCAAAAATGTCCCTTGCATAGGAATGAGATCATGAGAAAAAAGCATTTGCCATCAGGCAGTCGAGTCACGCTCTGGGCTGATCCTTCACCTTGGTCAGACGTAGGGATGAGCAAAGGTGATGGGAATGAGGTCCTAATATATCTCTAAATGAGGACAGATGCAGTATGTTCAAAGTGAGGGCGTTGCCTCTACAGTTCATTCAAAACAGACATGAGGAGACACAGAGCTAGGATAGCAGCAGCCCTCAAAGCCAAGTGCACAAGCATGGCCACTGCCCAAAAACAGGAGGTGGGAAGAGCCTATTCCAGCATCTGAGTGCTCTGGATCACACTGGGTACTGCTTGGATATAGGGTGTGTGGTGATGGAGGCATTTGGATGGAGGTTGTGAAACAGTGAAATAGAGCCCACAGGTGGGCAAAGAAGCACTGGCACAGCAGGGACAAGATAGGGTACCAGCTGCCCAAGACAATGACACATACGGGGAAGGCTGACTTTATTCTGCTTGGGGCCATATTCTTTTCCTTGCCAGCTGTTGGGACCAAAATAACACAACATTTGACATATTCTCCCCCACTCCTGCAAACCCTGTTTGAGCCAGTATGAGCTTACATTGCTCCGCCTCAGCAAGATCTCTGGTGTAGGAGAAAGCAACCAAAAATGCAATGATAAATCCATGTTAGATGCCACTGTCAGTTTCTAACTCCTACCTGGAGTCATTTGTGAGATCTCGCTTCTGGGCTGGCTGCTCAGGTCAGGTGTCCTGCTGTAAAGTTCAGCATTCAGGTCTGGGATAACCAATACTAATGTTTCAGGAAAGTGGAGGGTCAGCTATCCCAGAGGTTTAGTATTTCTTGTCAAGCCCAGATTTTCAGAAGGGATCAGCATTAAAGAGCTCCCCTTGTGCCATTGACAGCCAGCCTTTGCAAAAGGTGTACTGCACGAGTTATTCAGCTCTTCTGAAACATCTGAGCTGTTATTGTCACTGTCCTGTGGTTTGATCTAATTTCAGTGGCTATTATAAGGACAGCTTAAGTTCTTCTTAAGAAGAACTTACTAGCTGAGCTGCCTACATTGCCTCTAGGTGGGGAACCCACTGGGAAATGTTGGCATTTACAAATGTATTTTCATTCATAATGATCTGAGGCAAGATTTATACAAAAATGCTCCAGCCTTTGGGAGCACTTTTACCCTTCCCGTTCTTTCCCTCATCCCGCTGCAGGAAGTGAGCAAGTGGCTGTGTGGTGCTTAATTGCTGACTGGGGTGAAACTACAACAGTTCCTGAAGACTTTAGCACCTTTTCCCATCAGGTACAGTTTGCATTGATGCTGAGGGGCCTCGCACGACTGCAACTCTGCACTGATCAGCTCTAGGACTGTGCTCAGACCTTTCTCTGAGCATTAATCAGATCCCACTTAGCTGTAGGCATCTAATAAAGGTGACTAAAATAGGAGGTGTTTGACCATGGGTACCCTACAGTCATTGGAGAGGGGTAGGCACTTCTGGAGGGAGATCCCAATATGAAGCAGTCCAAGCTGTCTTCTGGAAAAGCTTTTACTGACCTTAGAAGAGTCCAGGCTGATCAAAGCTGAATAGTTGAAGTTTGGCAAGATGAGCTCAGCCCCTAAAACTTACGGCAGTGCTGTTTCTTGAACTCCTGCAACCCTGTAGTTTCTCTCTGCCCCTGATTCATTCTCAAGCATCAGAAAGAGACTTCTCAA